AGAAAGAAAGAAAGAAAGAAAGAAAGAAAGAAAGAAAGAAAGAAAGAGCGCGCGCGCTAGAAAGAGCGCGCGCGCTCGTGTGCTATGGACGGCTTACTGGGCTCTTGTCCTCCTCTTGTCCTTTGTGCTGGGCTCTGTGGCTGGGCCTTGTCCTCTTCTTGTCCTCCTTTTGTCCTTGCCTTGGCCGCGCCCCTGAACTCTGTGGCTGGGCTCTTGGGGTGTTGTCATCCTCTTGTCCTTGTCTTGGCCGCGCCCCTGAACTCTGTGGCTGGTCTCTGTGGCCCGGCTTACTGGAGAGGAGTGTGGCCGAACAAATAGCGATGTCAACGCCGACAAAAATTCATTGATGAAGCAGTTTGCTCTTGGGGTGAGAGTAGGGCGTACCAAGAAACCGATTTTTGAGTACTCTTGGTGTAAACGAATCGTTTTGAAGCTGTTTGGGTCTATGCTTGTATAATTTTCATGTCTTTCTGGCTTCATGTTTCGTCATCTCATCCTTGTTCTCTTTTGCGCGCGCGTGCGCGCACTGGTCCGATCCGTAGGGCGCACGTGGGCCCGTACACGAAGCCCAGGTCTGAGGTCACCCAGGTTGTTATAAGGAGGCTTGGCTCATCTGGTTGTTCCTGGTGTTTTTCCCGAATGCGTAGCGAAGGGTTCTCGTTTAACTCTGGGGGTCTGGGGGTAGAGTCTTGTTCGCGACCCGTTGCTTCTATGTTCGCAACCGTCCGCAACCGTTCGCAACCGTTCGCAACCGTTCGCAACCGTTCGCAACCGTTCGCAGTAGGACGCTAAGGCGCTGCCATTGGGGGAAGCTTTTGTAAGTGACTTTTCATGGATGTGTCACGTGTCAGTTTGCGACGCTATTCCATTGTGATTTGCATGAAAATGACATGTCGCGCAAGAAGCGTGATGCATTTCGCTGCACAGGCGCAGTGGTTTGAGAGATCCGCGGTTTACTGCGCAGTTCCATTGGGATTAGCGTTTGGAGAGTCGTGTTTTTGGGGTGTTGGATGTGGCCGTGCCATTGGGATTTGCGTTTCAGGGTGTGGCATCGAAGCTCTGTTTTCGTGACAAGTCTCAGCTGAAATGGCGATTTTGGTGGATGGGAGTGTGCTCAGAACGGGTCGAAATCATTCTAAACGTGTGGTGTGGTGCAAATTTTGTTGAAGCTCACGTGAGATGATCTTCTCACTTTTCGAGGCAGGCACAGTACTTTGTGCTGATTTTGAGGTGTGGAAGTGCGATTCTCGTGGCAGGCGCAGGAAATCGTGAGGTTGCGAGGTGTGACGGAGGTGACATTTCGTGGCAGGCGCAGTACTTTGTGCGCGTTAGACGTGTGGATGCGGAAAGATTCGTGGCAGGCGCAGGGAATCGTGAGGTCGTGAGTTGTGGTAGAGGTGAATGTCGCTGTCACACTGGGATTGGCGTGTGAGGGGGTATTGTTTGGAGGGGCTGGACTCGCGAAACTGCTTGGCAGGGCTGCGTGATGTGTGTGCTCCGATGGGTGTTTCCGCTTGACTTTTGGAGGAAGTCTCGTACGAAATCCTCGTTTTGCAGACTTTGACATGTGAGTTTTGGAGGAAGTCTCGTACGAAACGCTCGTTTTGGAGACTTGACACGTGACTTTTGGAGGAAGTCTCGTACGAAACGCTCGTTTTGGAGACTTGACGTGTGACTTTTGGAGGAAGTCTCGTACGAAGCGCTCGTTTTGGAGACTTGACGCGTGACTTTTGGAGAAAGTCTCGAACGAAACGCTCGTCTTGCGCAGCCTCGAAGCGTGACTTTTGGAGGACGTCTCGAAACGAAACGCTCGCAGGAGTGCTTCTAGTGTGCCACAAGAGTGTCCCACAAGAGTGTCCTACAAGAGTGTCCCACAGCCACAAGAGTGTCCCACAAGAGTGGTCCTACAAGAGTGTCCCAGAAGAGTGTCCCACAAGAGTGTCCTATAAGAGTGTCCCACAAGAGTGTCCTACAAGAGTGTCCCATAAGAGTTTCCTACAAGAGTGTCCCACAAGAGTGTCCCACAAGAATGTCCCACAAGAGTGTCCCACAAGAGTGTCCCACAAGAGTGTCCCACAAGAGTGTCCCACAAGAGCGCCCCACAAGAGTGGCCTACAAGTGTGTCCTACAAGAGTGTCCCACAAGAGTGTCCCACAAGAGTGTCCTATAAGAGTGTCCCACAAGAGTGTCCTACAAGAGTGTCCCACAAGAGTTTCCTACAAGAGTGTCCAACAAGAGTGTCCCACAAGAGTGTCCCACAAGAGTTTCCTACAAGAGTGTCACACCAGAGTGTCCCACAAGAGTGTCCCACAAAATTGTCCCACAAGAGTGTCCTACAAGAATGTCCTACAAGAGTGTCCCACAAGAGTGCCCCACAAGAGTGTCCTGCAAGAGTGTCTCACAAGAGTGTCCCACAAGAATGTCCGACAAGAGTGTCCCATAAGAGTGACCCACAAGAGTGTCCTATAAGAGTGTCCCACAAGAATGTCCGGCAAGAGTGTCCTACAAGAGTGTCCCATGTCCCACAAGAGTTTCCTACAAGACTGTCACAAGAGTGTCCCACAAGAGTGTCCTACAAGAGTATCCCACAAGAGTGTCCTACAAGAGTGTCCCACAAGAGTTTCCCTACAAGAGTGTCACACAAGAGTGTCCCACAAGAGTGTCCTACAAGAGTATCCCACAAGAGTATCCCACAAGAGTGTCCCACAAGAGTGTCCTACAAGAGTGTCCCACCAGAGTGTCCCACAAGAGTATCCCACAAGAGTTTCCTACAAGAGTGTCCCACAAGTGCCACAAGGAGTGTCCTACAAGAGTGTCGTGTAAGAGTGACCCACAAGAGTGTCCTACAAGAGTGTCTCACAAGAGAGTGTCCCATAAGAGTGCCCGACAAGAGTGTCCTACGAGAGTGTCCTACAAGAGTGTCGTGTAAGAGTGACCTACAAGAGTGTCCTACAAGAGTGTCTCACAAGAGAGTGTCCCATAAGAGTGCCCGACAAGAGTGTCCTACAAGAGTGTCCCACGAGAGTGTCCTACAAGAGTGTCCCACAAGAGTGTCCTACAAGAGTGCCTTTCAGGAGTGTCCTACAAGAGTGTCCTGTAAGAGTGTTCCACAAGAGTGTCCTACAAGAGTGACCCACAAGAGTATCCTACAAGAGTGTCCCAGAAGAGTGTCCCACAAGAGTGTCCTACAAGAGTGTCATATGGACATATGTAGCTTTTCGAACGTGTTTGCATTCGGGTTCGTGGGCTCCATCTTGTTTCATCGCAACTGCATACAGCTTGTCTGTCTTGCCTTCCTGTCATGTCCTCATCCGTTTGTCTTTTGCGCGCGCGTTAGTCTAAACCTTAGTTTTCCGCGCCTGGAGGCGTGTGTGTGAAACCCTTCAAGTCACAGGGAATCCTTTGATTGTGACGCTCCTGGGACATTGTCAGGGACGCCTGATGACGTACCTGCTTCAGTGATGACTTTCACTACCCACTGGGCCCGTTTTAATTACAACAAGAGTGCCAGCAGATGAGAGCGATCGTCGTCGCTTCGCCTGATGGATTCCGATTTTTGGCCTCCCAATGACTAGCAATGATCAGACCCCTTACATGATCTTCTCAGGAATATGGTTACCTAGGTCGCCGTGTGTGGGGAGTGGCTTTCAACTCAGTACGCAATATCTCGAGTGTGTGTACACCCTGGAGTCATGGGTGTTTTCGGGTTCCTGCAGATTTAGCAGGTGTGAGGACGGGACGGGGGCGCTTATCTCTGTACCTGCTGTAAACTCATATATAGTCAATGTGTATGGCTGCACTGAAAGATGAGCTAGAGTCTTGAAAACGTTTGGCTAAATGCCTCTGAGTCTTCGAAACCGTTTGGTTTTCCGCCTCATGAACAGTACTAGCGTAGTCGCTGCAGGCATGTTTTTGGAACTTTTCCCTGCACCCCTTTTTAGAGCTCTCCTCCCCTGTTTGCTTCATGTACCGGTTGTTTTACTCAGACCACTTTCTCACCTGGGTTTCGTCGGCATGAACATTCACACTGTATGTCCGCCTTTCCCAAGTCTGAGTGTGTGTGTGTGTGTGAAAATTTGGAATCAAAGGTCACCTTTTGGTGTCAAAAGCAGGGTGCGCTATGAAAATCTATTGGATGCAAGTTTGGACGCAAACTTCCATGCCTGCTTAATGTAATTGCTCCTCATTGTTTTTGCTCTTGAATTCAAGTATTACTTGCAATTCAATTCAAAAAGCTACAGTTGAATGTGGCGCTTGAATGTAACGAAATGTTGCACTTGACTTGAATGTAACTTATTAAACGCAAATGTTGCATTGGAAAGTACCTCAATGCAACTTGCGCTTGAATGTAACAAAATGTGACTTGCAGTTTTGAGTCTTGCCCTGTGTGAACCACGAGCGATGGCCCCCAACCTTGTAGGACGGTCTCCAACCTGGCCTTGAACCTACTAGCGAACGCTACTACTCTCCCCGTTTTACTCAGGTAAATTTTTAATCTAGGCCGCCGTGTGACGCGAGGCGTTCGTTTTCTGCGCAATATCCTCCTCATGAGAGCTTGGAGTGAGCCTGAAGAGTGCCCTCCGAAGAGTATCCTCCCTCCAGCCCGGGCAAGGGGGCCTTTGCGCAAAGGTAAGCTAAGACCTGATGACTTGGAGAGATTCTTGAGCAGGCTGAGGGCCATGAGCCCGCCATTTTGCAGACCGCAGTTCTCTCAACATCCAATGGGATCGGAAGCACTCTTGTCCGGGCCGTAGCTTGTGCGCAGGGGCGTGCAAATCAGGCGTAGGTGCGCTAGGTTTGGTACAATTAGGCTTGGGGCAGGATGGGGGGGCCTCCTTTCCGGGCAGGATGGAGCGTACGCATATGCTTCTCATTGGGAGGCACGTGTGTGTGTATAGCGACAGGGGTAATCCCCCTCACCATTGGTGGATGGCCAATGAAGAGGCCAAGGGTGAGAGCGAGAGCTGTAAACTTACCTGCAACTTAGACTTTATTTTCTGAATTCAATTTTGAGTCTCTTTTGTGAATCTACTTGAAGGATGAAGGTTTTATCTTTTTCTTTTGGGTTGAGGTCAAGTCTGTCTTGTGATGTTTTCGTTGGACTGAACTGCGGAAACTGAACTAACTAACCTGCTAGCCATGGCCTCCAACTTTTGTGCAGTGGCCTCCAACCTAGATGCGATGGCTTCCAACCTACACTCCCTGTTGTATTTACCCTCACTAAGGCTGGTGGGTGGCAAGCCGCAACCAGTTCAGTACGCATTTCCCGCGTATTTATGTCCCGAGTGTTAACAGTGGATATGTGTGTGTCGTCACATGAGGGTGTGTGTCGGTTGACTGTTTAAAATACTGGATGATTCGGGACACGATGTTCATGTCTCTGGATGCAGTTCTCCGGAGGACTTTAGCCACGCGCTGCGCCGGGACATTGTGGCGCTTGCGGCGGAGAAACCTGCCACCGGGACGTGGAACCGGTCAGAACCGGGTGGAAGCGAGTGGAACCGGAATTGTCCAGCAATTCTGTTTTGTGAAGGGAGCAGCTGATATAGAGAAATTCCAAAATGCATTTCGCAGGATGTTGGGGGCCGGATATATAGAAGAATTACAGTAGATGTTTGATCCTTGGAGTGTGGCTTGGGAAGTGCCGATGGGCAAGATTGACATCTAGTCGATCGTGAAGGTCCCCAAGTTTGTTGGTACTCGAAAGGGTTGAGTCTCACCTTTCTTACATGTATATACTAACACTAAGCTGCAGCTGGGTTTGATTCGAAGGTAGTTTTTGGCAGATCCATCCTGTAGACAAGGCAAGCTGAGATCACCCTAGTTCCAAGGTCATTTGCAGTGATATGACAGAGGCCATGAAAGCGATTGACTGTGCAGGCCTGGTGTCCACAATTGGGCCGAAAATAGCCAGGGCCAGGGAGTGTCGGTCTGTCCAAGATATGACATTTGGATGAATCCCCTTGAGGGGCTTGTGGATGCTTCTAGCTTAGACATTCGTCCCCTATGCACCACAAGAATGCGATGTTCAATCATTTGTTTGGCTAGCTCGATGACTCAGATGGCACACCACCTGTTTGAGTGGAACCAGGTCTTGGACAAGCCCTTATGCCTTGGCTCAGTTTGAGCCTCGTACTTGTTGCTGTTCGGTGCCTGTTGGGCGAACGCAGGCACCGAGGATTTCGGTGCCTTCGTCAAAGCAGAGTTCGGCTGGGCGGGACAAAGCAATCGCACCTGCCGGCCCAGCGACACGGAGGCGAGGACGGACAGAGACTGGTGTGTCCCAAATACGGGACAGGCCATAAGGGAAGACCAGCTGAACCGCATGTGGCCTGGAGAAGTTTTTTTTTGCCACTCAGTTCTGCAGTTGGTTCCTTGTTAGCTTGTTTATTGGAAGAGCTTGTCCAGCCGATTCCTTTATCGTCACCCTGTGTGACTGCTGGGTGTGTCAGCACCTTGTGACTGCCTTCAAAAGACTGGATCATCAGGTCATTCCGGAATTCTTTACTGGGGACTCTTGATTCATAGAGCCCATATTGGAGAGGTTTAAATTTAAATGTTAAATGAGGGTGTTTTCTTCATCAACGAGGGTGTTTCAGAGTCATTCTGGGGACTTGATCGAATTGGTCCGCTTCGCTGTGACCGGATGCCTCGCCTCTTGAGGCCCAGCGAGGACACTTCGTGCGCTGGCTCTCGGCGCGTCTACGCGAGGGAACGGTGCTGGTGGAGTCGGTGCCTGCTCCGGCATTTGTTGTTTCTAATAGCTTCTTGTTCCTAGTAGTAAGGCGAGGAACCCCTAGTAGCGTCCTTGCTCCAATTGAGGGGGGTTGCTTCAGAGAATGAATGGAGCATTGAATCACCCTTTGATGAGATAAGCCTGGAGAGTTGGGTTAGTAGTGGATGCGGACGGAGAGATCAGAAGCTGAGTTTTGCTGTGTCCACTGAGGAACGCCAGCGCATCCTGGACTTCTCAGTACAATTTGATGTCACTGCTGATCAAACCTCTATTTTTAGCAAGAAGCCTGGCCAGTCTTGGTATGAATTTGTGAGGAGAAAAGTTCGTTGCGGCTTTTTGAAGATTAGGTTTGGCCGGTTTGATAGGAAGCAGCTCCCTTCTCACATTGTTGCTGCTGAATGGCGCCATCTTTTAGAGAGACACCAAGGTAATATTAATTTGAGCCTGTTTCTTGTTGAAGGTGTCAGTCTTTAAGCTTTAGAGAACTGCACTTGTGGGGCTTAGGAACATTTTCCACACCAATGAGCGTGGGCATTTTCGGGCCACTGACCTGACTCCTGATGCTTGGGAGACAGCCTGGGTCGCTCGAAGACAACGTCATCCGGTGTTCCGATCGCTGAGTCAGATGCGATTCGTTTTCCGAAGTTCAACACGTCAATCCGCTTTGCGTTGCAACCCTGATGGAAAGCAGCAAAAGCTTGGACCAGAATGGGATAACATTACGGCCAGACTCAGGAAACCGTGGCCGTGATGGCGCAGGTGTAGTGTTGAAAGTTTTGATCTTCAACTAGCTGCGCTGGTTGTTTCTTGCCGCTTGTCGCCCTGTGGCTGGAACGATGAACCTGTCGGATTGGCTGTGCCGAGGCTGCGGCCCTGCCAATGGCTTCTGGCAAGGACGCGGTGGAACTTGCGCCTTAGACATTTATGTGAATGGGAGAACGTCGTGTCAAATCCGTTGTGAACTTGGCCCTCCCTTGCGTTGAACGAACGCGCTGGCCGTGTATTCTGTTTGCAGTTTTTGGGCTTTTGGACTTTGTTGTGGGCCCAAAGGATTTGTGCTTGGAATTGCCGCCATACCGCTGCAACTGCCCAGGCTGACTGGACTGCGGAATCCGTGGCACAGTGCGTGGGCACGGCACTTCAAGGAGCTGGTTACGTGGGACCCTGCGGTGTGGATGGTTTCCTCTACCGAGATCGTGGCAGGCGGGCCATGGCGGGCGAGGGTGTGTTGGCAGCATGCCATGTGCGTGGCATTTACAATGGTTTAGCAACTAACAGGAGGTTCCTGTTGCCAGACAGTCTGCAAAACGTGCTTCTTTTGAAAGTCGGGTGCTTGCGTGATCAGTAGCACATAGGCTCCATGCTGTGAACGTTCGCCCCCTTCAAACTGTTTCAGTTCGACTTCCGTCTCCGGCCAGCGAGGATACACCTACAACCGGTCAGCGATGTGAACCCCCGGCATACCATGACGCGCCTGGCGGTGCAGGTGGCAAAACGCTGTCCCCAGGTGCGGATGCTCGAATTCCTGCCCGAGTCAACCAGGTTAGGCGAAGTAGACGACACGTGATCAATGTAGTCCTTGCGGCTTCCAGTACCAGACAACTCCAAATATATAACTGGCCCAGCAAGCAAGGCAGCCTTGCACACCAGAAAAAACACAAAAAACAACTTTTTCGGGACAAGCTTGGTTGCATTTATGGTCGGTGATAGTACAATTCGGCGGTAATTACTTGTTGTGTGAGACAACATTCTGGTGATGAACTTGTCAAACAACTCGTCACCGGGATTCCGAATTTTTTGCTTGTCCGCCTCCACACTGTCCCTCCCTCAGGGATGGCAACCGCGACAACTACGGATGCTGCCACGGCACACGGCGGAGGAACTTCGGTCGAGGCAGAGACATGAGGTTTTCGGACCTCTTTTGTCACAGGCACCGTGTGCAAAATGCAGCTGGTGTGGTAAAGTCTCCTTCCACAAGCAATGGGCCTTTCGCTCCCAGAGCTTGGATCCTTACCCACTATATAGCATGATTGAGCAAAGACCCATGCAACAACTGCACAACCTTTCTAAGCGGTGCGTCCGTGCCTCTGAAGAGTCTTCGCTGTTTCTTGAGTCATGCAACATCGTGCCACTGGTGTTGCTGTTGCGCAGTTTTGGCTGTCCACTGCCTGCAGAGCATGCGGAGAGGCTGCAGAACCGCCCGTGCTTGGACATGAGAGCAATGAGGGTTGAAGAATCCGTCCGCAGTTCTATTGTCGCATTGTGCGAATCCGTCCGACTTCTTGTCGTCGTTTGGTCATGTTTAGTCCATCTATGCGGGCGCAATGCTTACTTGTAGCAGTCTCCTGTGGACTTATCCGGACATTTTCCGGAAACATGGCTTGTGTACTGCATAAAGCAGGTATGGCCTCGAACCGGGGCTCTGTGCAATAGCGCTGACTCCTTTGGGCCATCCAAACAGCCGGCGCGGCATCACGGCTTTGCTGACTGGAGAGTCACTCAGGCAGATTCCTGAAGACTTCTGCGTGAAAGACTTCCGAAGCGTATCTCGAATGTCTGAATTTTCTTGTTTTCAAGTGGCTGAAAGTGGGCCTAGAAATTTCTCAGTCTTGGACTTGGAACCTCTAGGTAACAATTTAACCAACCTGACTTTAATTGTAAAGATATACTATATAAGGTATATAATGATATATATTAGCTAGAAGCCACTAGGGGCTCCTGGGAGCAAGGACGCTACTAGGGGCTCCTGGCCTTACTACTAGGAGCTAGAAGCTACTAGGTTGGAGGCCATTGCAACTAGTAGTATATATGTGATGTATATATATAATATTGCTTCAACGATTGATTCCATCGTTATCGTTCCATTGCACATGTGCTTGGCCCTTTAGCACCTCATCCTCGACCTCCACGTCCTTCACGTCCTCCACGTGGCAAAGCAGCAGTTCAGCGCTTCGAAGCTTTGCTCGGGGCGTTTTGCTGGAAGGCCAATTGACTTGGGGCTGCAAAGAGTTTGCATCGCACCCGTGACTAAAGAAGATGACTTAATATTGGTATCCATAACATCCACAACCAGGTTATGACTTGAATCTCTTGCGAACACTTGTGCTGCTACCCTGAGAGTTAACATCAATCTGTTGTTTGGGGAGCATTTCTGCTGACATTCGAAGAGGTGCAGTAGAACCCGCCAGGCTCTTTGGGTGCCAAATTGCGGCCGCCAAGCAGGGAACTGTACCGCCGTTTGCGGTCAGCTCCAGATTTGAGCTGTGCAGAGAAGGAGCTCCAGATTGTAGGGCATGGCCAGGGTTAGCTTCCGAAACCGCATCCTTACGCCTCATTGTTCCGCCATGCCATCGTAGCCACTCCTGCTGGTCGAACAAGTGCCCTCGAGGAGATGGACGTGGATTGGCCACGGCGTGACAAGGAGATCGACATTTGCCGAGGCGGGGAAGCTGAGGCCGCAGGGGGCCATGTTGATCACAGAGATCAGCTTGAGTCAAGTCTACAACTGGCTTTCTACAGCCTCTACACAAGATCTCAGATTAGTAGTTCTCGACCTACTCAAAGCAGCCGAAGAACAGACAGAGGGTGTTTGAATAGTCCCGGATCCTTTCCCCAACCAAGGAATGGACCATTCCCCTTGGGCCCCAAAATCAATGCCGCGACCGAACAATATCACTGCAGGTTTGAAGAGCGGCTACGATCGTCTCCCAAAGATGTCGCAGATCTTGGCCTCCACAAAGGCGACACCTGTGAGTATTTTTGTTGCAACACGGGGATGTGAGCTCGAGTTCAGATGGATTCCGTGGCTAAGCTGCTTGACTTTGTGGCTTGGGCTTGCTTTAATATAAAGGTGTCTAGCATCAAGGTTATGCACATGAAACAATCGATTGTGTTTTGAGTGCAGCCGAGCCTGCTACATTTTCGGCAGAAGAGCTCCTTTTGGTGCTTTTACCTTGTGTCCTGTTGGCTGTCAGGCCCAAATCCAATGCTTGCACAAGTTCGCAAATCACGACACCTGGTGGTGATTTTGATGATTTGTTCAACATAGCAGGCTTTGGGCTGGAATCCGACACTGCTTCCAACGGTGATGCGGCAGAACTACTGCTGTAACAAAATATCCAAGGGTGTGCTTAAGAGCATTTGGGATTTGACACTTTTGTCCAGGGCGATGAGGTTGTGTGATGTTCATTGTCTAGCGTTCTGTCGTGGCCATTCAAATATGCATTCCTCGAAGCAGCAGGAAAGATTTGTGTGATCATATCACCACGACGTCGACTTCAATCACAATTGTTCACCCAAGGAGCTTCAGGCCATCGAGATGTTTGCCTGGGCTTTGCTACGTTTCCCGGACGCACCGAAGGGATTGCGCTTGGGGCTGCTGCGGACTCTCGAGGAGGACAGGCTAGTCCAAGCTGTTTCTTGTCGCAAAGCAAATGCAGGTATTGGAACATTCCGCTAGGCCTTGATCAACCAACGCTTTTGGAATCTTTTGGTTGATGAGCATGTCTGCCAGGAACAGTCACACTGTCGCCTCTACTTGCAGCGTGCCCATGCTCTGGGCGCGACACATGGCTTGCCGCTAGGTGAGGCCCCTTTGTCAGGCAGGGCTCCTTTGTCCGCTGATGCTCCAGACCACATGTCCCAAGTGTTTAGGGCTCGAAAGTACTGATTCATTACCGCAGGTTTCGTGCATCCTTCTTTCAAGAGTCACCGGAGAGTCTTTAGCCACAACAGATAAATTGGTCGATGGGAGAACTCATGTCTTGGGAGGTGAGGGCTTCAAGAAGTGCATATTCTCTACGTAAAACTATAAACAGCCTCTTTGGATCTTCCTCATGGTCTTCACAGTTTTTGCCACTCTATAAGTCCTCACGTGTCTTCAGTGTTGGACCCTCTGGCCTGGTGCGGTCGGACAGAATCGGTTTAGCCTGCTCAGTGGCAGGCTACTTGTGGCAATGCCTTGATGCAGTTCGTCTTGCCGAAGAGCCGCTCATGTCGTTCCTTTGTGGAGTAGGCCAGAAAGTGCAAGAAAATCGTAGGAAATACGTGGACCGCGTACCAACATGTGCCAATGGCATGCAGCATGTGTTCTCAACGCACACACACACATACCCAAGCTATCCCGAGCTGCACTCTTGATCCAATGCTCATGTTGAGCTGCTTGACCGTTTGAGATTGCAGGTCTGACCTTCGAAGCGGCCAACTTGGATCACAGCCTCCACTACCGCAACGTCTTCCGCCAGGTGTCGGACCGCATTCCTCACGGCGCTCAACAAAAACTGCCCTCCGCGCGCGCGCCTAGCCAGGCTGGGGATCAAGAGACCGCTGAGGTGCTCCAGCGGGTCCATGACGAGGCTTTGGATTGCATGTCTTGGATGTGTCAGTTGATGATACTCCATGTTTTCTTCCCTAACTGTTCGTTAAGGGATGTGGCTGGTAGGCTGGTAGGCTGATACTGAGAAGCCAAACAGGGTAGGTGATACTCCAATCTCCAGTTCGCTTGAACACCTCTGCCCGGAACCTCTAGTGAGGGTTCCTCCTTCCACGTTGCAGGAAGTCCAACATGTGCGTTTGGCCAATGTCTGGTTGCGGCGCCTGGCGAACAGATCTGAGTCGGACTTGGAGCTCTATCAACGCCCGGGCTTCCCAGGTGAAGGGACTCCTTTTGGTTTCTGGTGGGATGGGACACCCATCGGGGTCAACACGTTACCTCAGTTCCCAAGGTGTCGAAGACATGCAAAGTCGCGCTTCGAATTTGAATTGCTCCTGTGCCTGCTGGACGCAAGGCTATGCTGTTCCACCAACCTTTGGCTTACACAAGGCAGGATTGGCAATCTTGCATGGATGATTCCTTGTGTGCTTCCTAGCTAAGCCCAGCTAAGCCTAGCCCTAGTGACCTTGTGTCCTTCCTTCACCAAACCCATGACAAACCCAAGACCTTCAATCCCAGGCACGCGGAAAAGGCTTCGCGGGCGCCGCCTCGCGCCGCTGCGCCGGGCTCTCGGAGGCCTTCGTGCATGCGGCCAAGGAAGCCAGGCCAGGGGGCGGAATAAATCTGAGAGATTGAGGGATTTTGAACTACTGTAGAAAAAGAAAGACTTTAAGGAATCTACTAGCGATGGCCTCCAGCCTAGAAGCGATGGCCTCCAACCTAATAGCTATGGCCTCCAACCTGGAAGCGATGGCCTCTAACCAAGTTGAAATAAACTTGCACATACTGTATACTGCACTAACATCTTATTCTTGTTGTTCTACAGTTTGCTGTTCCAATAGAAGAAGGGTGTCCTGTCCGATCTCTTGACATATACCTTGTGCTGAGGTTTTCTTTTTAGGAGGGCTAGAAGAACGATACCTTACCCCACCTCGCATGCCTGGCACGCCCGAAGACTGCCTATTGTTTTGTGCATTTTTTGGGTAGACTTCTTCGGGTTTGGGGTCGATGTCCCTGACCCAAAACCATCTGAAGAATCTGAAGTAAGTCTGGCTACTTTCCACTGGGAGAACTCGGTCACCCTGGAGGAGCCAGCGGAGTCCGCTGTCAGCTCCCGCCTGTGTGGCAGAAAAAGGAGGGCCGTCTTGGCAGTGCTTGAATCACTCTCAGCAGCGGATGAAGATGCTCTCATTGGCCGAGGCTGTTTTTCTCTACGAGCCTACGAGCCTATCATTTCGAACTTAATGCAATTCATAGGCAATCGAAGTGTTGTCTCAGGGCCAAAGTTGGGACCCACCTTCAGCCCCTTCGACCCGATGCTTTTCCGGCAGATGCAGGTCAACCGGGTACACCGATACATGCTGACCTGGTTATAGGCTCAAGGCCGAAACGAACGCACCCCATTTGTCGAGCCGCGCTGTTTCAGGGCAGGCTTGGCGGGGGAAGGGGCCTGGGCGGCCATAAGGAGGATTTCGCGTTTTGGTCGGCCAGCCGCATGGCTGTCCAGGAACCTATCATCATGGGCTGCGGTGCCAGCGCCGAGGCCGGTGGAAAGGCCGTGAGTCGAAGACCCTGGCAGTTCCACGTCAGATGACAACTCCCCACAAGGGTCGAAGGTTTGAAGAAGAAGCCGGTGCTTCAAAGCCTTGAGGGTCTCGTCTTGTCCCAAGCTTCGTGCTTGCGCCAGTCCACACAGAAGAAGAAGCAGCCAACGACTCCTGAGGAGCAGAGCAATGTGAAGCAACGTGGAAAAGGAATGATCGTTGAAGCGCAAGGTTTCACACTTAACAGGATATCATCGGTGATCGTTCGTATTTATCCGGCAAGCAATGCCTAAACTTGAGCCAATTCAATTGTTTTGCCTGTCCTTCAAACAAGTTTGCATTTGGCATGCAAGACCAAGACAGCCAGTTTTTGTATCCGTCTTTGCAGGACCGTATCAAGGACAAGAAGGCCGCCAAGGTGGGTTGCCGCCTTCGTGTCCTTTATCGCGTAAGATTCACTGCATTCCGCTTTCAATTAGTTTGAAGATATCACTCTTAAGAAAGGTAGTCATGTCACAGGATGTTGTTTTGTTTTCTCAGCCCCAGTGGTCAGCCTCAGCCTCCCTTTGCCAGGATGAGAACAAGGCGTATCAGATGCAGTTACAGTTTCTAGAACATGTGCCGCTGATGAAGCGCCTGCCAAAGGCGCTGGGAGGGAGGGAAGGCGCAGGGGACGGTAGGCGCAGGTAGACTTGATGCAATTTCAAAAAGGATCTTGTTTCTGCAGGGCCTAAATCCAATCCTTAACGGTATCTGAAAGGTTTGTTTCAAACCTGGCTTATTTTGAGTATATAACTTGGGGGAAATCTTTATGGCAAATAACGCCCACAGTTGAACCCTCTGCAGCTAACTCTTGAGCCTGTCAATCTCGTCGCTGCGCAAGGACCAGCATCCATTGGTGGCCAGTGTCTGTGAGATGCACGACTACAAGAAGGGGGACTGATTTGGGAAGGGCCCGGTCTGATCTGCATGACTCCAGGATGTTCCAAGGTGATCCAAGGTGTCAAGTTACATGTTGAACGGTCCAAAGGTGTAAAATCATGAAGTCTTCTGGGTGCTGGACATGTCGCTAATGAGAACTCCTCCTACAGAAAGAACTATACTTCTTCCGGCAAGATGTTCAACAGTGAACAACATGGTGCCTCTAGCTTTTTGATGCGTGGAGATACTGCTTGTACCTACCAAGCACATTGTTCTCAAACTCCAAGCGCATGCAGGACACTATCTTCAAACAGGGTGACACCGGGCAAGAGTTCTTTGTGATCCGAACAGGGGAGGCCTCCGTCTTTGTGCGGAAGCCCTGTGGAAAGCTGCCGAAACTCAAGAAGTGTAACAATGAAGATAGTCCGTCCATTTGGGAACCGCAGGGCACAAAAGGGCGGAGTTTGCTTGAGAACCCAGTGCCGAATGGGCGCTCCTTGAAACCAGCCAAGCCCGATTCAGGGGCCCTTCGACGTCTTTCACCGTCTTTCGCAAACAGCTCCGGCCATCCAGGTCGCAGACGAGAAGGGCGTCCAGAAAAAGGTCGCCGGCCTCAAGGCAGGAGGGAGACTGCAGCTTGAGCATTTCTTTGAACTGAAATATGGGAAGGATAAAGACTGAAACTCTTCAGTTTGAGTTAAATGAGGTTTTCCATCTATCCAGAAAGAACGACGTGCAGATTACATCCGAACATCCCAGCTCAAACGGGTGCGCCGCCAAACCGTGGTGCCTTCGCGGCGCACCGACGCCCAGGCGGGCGACTACTTCGGTGAGAAAGCGCTGCTCCGTGCCTCGGCCATGGTTTCATAAGGCCGCCCTGGCCTCCAACCTAGTAACAAGTGCATCGCTACTAGTAACAAGTGCCACGCTACTAG